CGCACTGTCGGCGGGGAGAGGGGGGGGGGTGGGGAGCGCCGGAGGAAAGGACCACAGCATCCTCCCTACCGCAGCTCCCCCATCACAGACAATGAGATAACAGCGACGTCTTCCAAAGCTCTTTGTTCTCCCCATCCTTCCGTATCCAGGCTTTTTCCTGCAAAGCGGAGGGGGTGGAGGGTTGGGGGTGTGGGTGGAAGTGGGAGACGGAGGGGTGCCTCCCGCGTGTTAATTACCCCGACTCCCCGCTCTCCTCTCCCCTCTCCCCGCACCTCGCCTCCCCTGCAGCACCAGACAATGAAAAAACAACACCAACCCCACCTCGCCCCAGCGCAGCAAACCCTACCCACCCATTTCGCCCTTAGTTTTGCGCAGGAAACTGAGGGGGGCCCGGAGGGCGGATGACGAGGGCAGGCAACTAGGAGGGGGCAGGGGCTCGCCACGCGGCCAGGGGCTCGGCCGGCGCCTGCCAGGGCAGGGAGCGCCGCCGCGGCTTTTACCTCGATCGCCGGGTCCAGGCACAGCCTGGCCCAGCGTACCGCAGCCGCGAGCTGCCGCGATCCAGGGCCAGGATCTGGGGAATCAGCCTTCCGGAACTCGCCTGCTGCAGTCCTCACGCTCCGGTCCCAAGTGGTGGAGGGGAGAGAGGAAAAGAGGGAAAAAAAAAAATAAGAAAAAGAAAAAAAAAAAAACCCACAACCCTTAAGAGCGAGGCCCATCTGGCCCCTCATCAGCTTTGTCAAGTCTTGCATACGCTAAAATGCTAATGACCTAGATAGCTCATGCAAAATGCAGCAGGGAGGGAGGGAGCGAGGGAGGTGGGAGGGGGAAGAGAGAGTGAAGGGGGAGCGGGGGAGTGAGGGAGGGCGGGCGGGTGAGGGAGGCAGGGAGGGGGAAAGAAACACCCCTAAGCTCCCCACCCTACCCCACACCCAACTGTCAACGGGCTTTACCGGGTAGAGGGTGGACCTCGATTTAAAGGGTCATTCTTGTATAACGCGGCTGGATCCCCGGGGTCAAAAAAGGGAGAGGGACAGACGATGACAGCCCCCAGAGCCAAAGGGACAATAGACATTATTTTGAGCCCCCTTCCTGCATGCCCTCCACATCACTCTGTTTACATACAAATTCAGCCCCCACCTCATGCATGTACGCGTTCATGTCAATTTCTCAGAGCTCCTATGGACACATTCTCATTCCTAGCAAAACTCATCCTACGGCCCGAGGGAGTTAGACCCCTTCTCCGCAATCGTCCGCCAGCCAGCCCATCCCCACTGGCTTCCACCTCGCCCCACTATTCCCTCAGCCTTCTGGGCAGCATCTGGCTTCTTCCCCTTTATAAGCCTCGGGGTCCCCAGTCCCCCTTCCAACACCCGCATACTTGAGAAGGTGAGGCAGGAGTGCAGAAAGCCAAGTCAAGTCCACCTGGATCTCCCGCGATTCTACTATCCCACCCAGAAAACAAAACAACCCAACTCTTCCCCAGCACTGACAGTAGTAAAGCATGCCAAAAGGAAAAACAAAAATTCAGTCTGAATACCCTCCGAGGTCCACACGCCGGGCGGGCGCACTTGGGCTTCGATCATCCGTGTTCCGGAGCCAGAGCTCCTGAGCGTCCCTGTTCACCGAACCCAAGGTGCTTTGTTCCGGCGTCCACTCAGGGTCTTCATCTTTTTGTTCTCCTTTTTAAGAGACTGCTCGCAGTCCGGAGCGTTTCAGCCATCCCAACCAAAGTTAGTAGATCTACTGGAATAAAAGGATCAAGATAATATACATGCAGATGAAAGAGGGAGGGATGCGGAGAGGCAAAGGAAGCCCGCATCCAGGGAGCGGCCGCTGGGGCCAAGCCCGGACAGCATTCTTCGCTGGGGAAGGGGCGGGCGGCGAGAAGGCGCTGGTGGTCTCTCCACCTGGCAGGAGGAAATGATAACCATGATAAGGAGCATCATGATGATGATGATGAGCGTGATAAAAAATTCAGAATCTCCCCTTGGTGAACCGGAGCATGCGTGCAGGAAGAACTGCACTGCTGGCGGCGGCGGCTGGGGGGAAGGAGAGCGCAGGAGGCAAAGGTTGTAGAGGCTGCACCCTCAGATGAATAATAATAACGCGCAGCGCAAGTTGCGGTGCAGCCTGGAAATCCAGCCCTTCGCGTGAACTCGCGTCGAGTGCGGATTGCAGGGGATGGAGAAGAAGGGGGAGGGGAGGAGAGGGCGGAGGAGGGAGGAGGAGGGGAGGAGAGAGGAAGGCAGAGAGGGACAGAGAATTTGGAGCCTTTTAATTTATCCTTACCGAGCCCTAATCTCGCTCACTGTCCTCTTTGGGTAAGGTCGATCTCCCTTCTAAAAATTATTCCTTTAACGGATTATTCAGGCTAAAAGAAGCCACATCTGCTGACTGTTCCGAAAACAAGAGGATTAGGAGCGGGTCCACAGAGCCCGGCCCGCAGCCCCCCCACCCCCTCTCTGCACCAGCACACGTCATTCTCACTGCCCCCGGGTACCTCCCTCTCCTTCGTGCTCGCGGAGAGCTGTGCCAAGGAAAATGCGGATTT